GAGAAAGGCGTGGTAGTTGCACGTTGTGGTGGTTGTAACTTTTAATAATCTTCATCTGATTGCAGACCATCTTGGCTGCTATGAAGAACCAGGAAGCGTAGGGGAGCTGCTGGCCGAACACGGGGAGGAAATAAGAAAGGTTTTCAGTAGACACACTAAAATCTAACACCTGAAAATTTACCAGGAAAGGGAGTCTTCAAAGGCTAACATTTAACGTTAACTGTTTTTTTTTTTAAACATTAACAGGTTTTTTTAAGGCTTCTTGACTGAAGTAATGTATATGTACTCTTTTCTCTTTGTATATTCAAACAATCTTATTATCAGAATGTGGAAGTCTTTGTTCTAATCAAACAAAATGAGCAAGAAGATGCATATTATTCAGGGACAATAAAATTTTAAAAATAAAAAATAAAAAAATTTGAAGAACAGCTGAGGGGCTCTTTGGATTCAAGATAAAGGCCCAAGGACCTTACTGGGTTTGGGCTCCTAACGTGGGTCGCCTACTCGTAACTCTAGCCTAAGCGGCATGCTGCTTGCTTGCTTATAAGCAGCAACACAGGCGCTTCTCTTTCTGGTTTGTTCTCTTCACTACCGGAACGGGAAGGTTGAAGAACATGGCAGCGGCGAATGTTCAGTCCGTCTCCTTTTCTGCCTCTCCCCACAAGCTTTTCATCGGAAGGAATTCCGTGAAAGTTGTGGGTACGCTCTCTTTCTCATCCAGAACCAACGTTTCGACGTCTCTCATGGCCGGCTTTCTCTCACTTCACGTTAGACAGAAGCGTCCCAAGAATCCACTGAAAGGTGATTCCTTGAGTTTCAATTCTTTTCAATTTAGTAACTTTATATAATTTTTCTTTTCTTTTCTTTTTGAAGTATTTTTGGGTTTCACTTGTGTAAGTCGATTATTTAAATAATCCGTCTTCAAAATTGGGAATTGTTGCATTTTATGGGTTAATTTGATGGATGTGTCAATTGGGTCGTTCAAATAATATGGTTTCGATAATTCTATGCTTTTTATATAATTGGAAGACTCAATTGGATCGTTTGATAATATGGTTCTTCTTGTTTTGAAGAAAAATTTTGAATGGAAAGTACCTTATGCTATGTATGCATTTTCCATGGACATAGTTAAGCTTAAGCAGATCAGCATTAAATGTTTTGGCTTTGTTGCTGTAATGTATGGCAGTGAGATCAGTGGCTGCTCCTGCAGAAGAGGTTGCTGGGTTTGATGACATGGTCTCTGGAACTAAACGGAAGTATTACATGCTAGGCGGCAAGGGAGGTGTGGGAAAGACCAGTTGTGCTGCTTCACTTGCTGTTAAATTTGCTAATAGTGGGCATCCAACTCTGGTGGTTTCAACTGATCCAGCACATTCCCTGAGTGATTCTTTTGCTCAGGTTTATAGCTACTCTATTATCTTGCCTTTTAAGTATTATCATCCTGCTTTACTTTGCATAGGCTTAGTTTTGTGTGTTAACTATACCACTTAGGATTTGACTGGAGGACTGCTAATACCAGTTGAAGGACCTGAATCTCCATTATATGCTCTGGAGGTACGTGCGTCATGTGACAGGCTTTTAAGTACTTCATGCTTAATTGGTCTTATATGCTGGTTATTTTCTTAGTAGTCTTGTTACCTTATGTACTCAGTAAGTTATATATGTCTAGCTTTGCAACAGATAAACCCAGAGAAAGCTAGGGAAGAATTTCGCAACACAACTAAAAGTGATGGTGGATCTGGGCTCAAAGATTTCATGGATGGCATGGGCCTTGGTATGCTTGCTGAACAGGTAAATTTTTATCACTATCTATCAACATTACAAATACAGGTATTAAATATTCACATGGATCTTCTGGTATTAAATTATGGCATGGATGTCCTCACTAATTACTTTGTTTATTAGTTGCCTATTTTTAAATCATGCTTACTTTCAAATAACTCTGCAAGATTTCCTGTAGATTGTGTATACACAGCTTTCTTAATCTCATTTATTGAGCACAATTATCATACACTGATACAAAATCAAGGGAAACGTAGATGCTAAGCTTGGAGAAATCAGTAAACTGCAATTTACTGAATCTTCTTCATATATTTTAGAACCTAATGTTTCTCTCTTTCTGTGTTTCCTGCCCAGTCTTCATTTCTTCCTTTTTGTAGTGTATTTTTTCTCCTTAGATATGCCTGCTTTTCATTTCTTTTGCCTGCTTCCTTTGACTGCTTTTGCATCTTCTGAGTGAAGTTAGGAGAACTAAAGTTGGGAGAACTATTGGACACACCTCCTCCTGGCTTGGATGAAGCCATTGCAATTTCGAAGGTAATTGTCATCTACTTTGCTTATTCTTGTTTCATTGCATTTTGAACATCTCTCTAATATGAAAGTGCCTGCTAGGTGATGCAATTTCTCGAATCACCAGAATATAGTATGTTTACAAGAATAGTTTTTGATACAGCACCCACGGTGAGCAAGTTTCTTTTGTTATTTTATTCATCTCTGACAAAAGTTACTTCATCTTTAAATGTATAAACTAATTTGATAAGGTCTACTTTACAGGGACATACATTAAGACTTTTGTCATTGCCAGACTTCTTGGATGCATCTATAGGCAAGATATTGAAGGTCTGCACTTCTATTTCAGAACAATGAACGCCTTCTGACACTATTGTGGATGAGTTTTTTCCTTACCTAGGATGCCACAGCTTGCTTTTCATCAAGTTTAGGCATTGTTTTGTTGTTTAACATCTTTTCATGAATGACATTTCTATTTAGGTTATTAGCATAAAATGGTGTCTCACATTGGTTTAAAATGTAACTAAAGTTCCAACCAAAGAAAATTCTGTTTAATTTCCATTAGGTGTTAGATGATGTAATTCTGTTGCCGAAGCAGTCATTTTCTCTTCCATGTATAAATGGTTTAAATGCTAATTCACTACAGATGGGCAACATTTCAGTTGGTTTCATCTTCTGCAACTTGATTGTATATACTGTAGATGCTTTCTGACTTCAAATTTCAGCTACTTAGCCAAATATTCATTTTGGCAAAAGAAAAGAAGAGTATTTATGTGAGGGAAAAGTGTTTTGCTCGTTGTCCTCCTCAAATTTTTTTGGAGGACGTGTCTAAAAACTAATCTTTTGATTCATATTTTTAAAAACCAACTATTGAATTAAAAGTTCTATTCATATAGATGATGCATGTAAATTTTCATGTTGATCTAGTTGGCCTAACACTGTTAAATATATGATAGTAGTAAATAGAGTTACTTTGATCAAAGGGTTATAAATGTTAGATTAATATGAAAATTGATTTGCATGATCTAAATGAATAGAACTTTCAATCTAACAGTTGGTTTTTGAAATTATTAATTAGTAAGTGGATTTTTAGACAGGTGCTCCAAAAATATCTTAGGAGGACGACCTGCCCTACACTATTCCCTTTATGAGAATAGTCACATATATTGTTGATGACTTCTAACTCAAAATGACAACTGGTATGCCAAATATTCGTAAGAATAACTTTATGTATTGTGGATTCCTGCTAACTTCAAATTACAACTACTTAGTCAAATATTCTCAAGAATCTAGAACTATATTATACTGATTTTTTTTTTTTTTTCAGTTATGTGTGCTAGTTGAAATATTTTTTTGTTTCATTTATTACCATTTCCTATTGCAGCTTAGGCAGAAAATAGTGTCAGCTACCTCTGCCATCAAATCTGTTTTTGGGCAAGAAGAAACCCAGCAGAATGCTGTAAGCATGAATTATTATGTGCAGCTTAGGCAGAAAATAGACATCTGGTTCTTTATTTTATTTCCAAGTACTCTTACCTTGCATGGTTGTGCAGTCTGACAAATTGGAGCGACTAAGGGAGAGGATGGTAAAAGTGAGAGAGCTTTTCCGCAACACAGATTCAACAGAATTTGTCATTGTGACGATTCCCACAGTACTGATCTTATATTTCAATACTGAGTTCTTTCCCTGCTTTGGGAACATCTATCCATATTTCTTCTTTTTAACCATCTGCCAAATGCTTTGCCTGATCGTTTTGCTTAAAAATCCAAGTCTTTATTAAAGATCTATATGTAATCATAGATTGTCTACCAACTGAATGTGCCTGATTAGCATGCTATTGATTGAAGTAGCAGATACATTAGTTTCAGTTGGATCAGTTCAATAGGCTTTGATTCTTACTGCTTTTAGTTCATAAGTTTCCATTCATATTTTTCCTAGGTGATGGCAATCAGTGAGTCATCAAGGTTGTGTGCTTCCTTGAAGAAGGAAAATGTTCCTGTCAAGAGGCTTATTGTTAATCAGATTCTCCCTCCATCTCCCTCAGACTGCAAATTTTGTGCAATGAAAAGGAAGGTATTAGCTCTTTACTCCTTTATTGGTTATTCTAGCCCTTAAATAGCATTTTTAGTGACCTGGTTGAGTGCTACTGTGCTTGAATTCTTTAAATCTGATCTGTCACCAGTGGTTTTCTTCATTTGTTCAAACCTTCCCTATGGAATTTTCAGGATCAGATGCGTGCACTTGATATGATTTGTGGTGATCCAGAACTTTCTAGCTTGACGTTAATCCAAGCACCCTTAGTTGATATGGAGAT